TCGTGTAATCTGGAAATATTGCATTTTGCAAATAGCACAGAGCCTGGCACAGAATAGAATCTCATTTACTCATTCATTGACCAGGTATTTATTTAGTCAGGGTCTTCCCTGAGCCAGGTACTGTTTTAAGTAGAGAATACAGTGATATGCAGATATGTGACATTGTCCTGCCCTCTGAATGCTTCAATCTGGTAGGGGAAACATTAATGCAGAAGAATGAAGTAATTCACTGTGCGAAAGGGTATGAAAGAAAGGGACGCGGAGAGCCTGTAGCAGGGGACCTGGTCACATCTGTGGGTCAGGGAAGGCTTCCCTGGGAATGTGCTCTAGGGAGCTGGGAGATGGAGGATGAGTAGGCATTAACCAATTGATGAAGGAGCAAGAGAATGTTCCAGGAGTGGCAACATGTGCTAAGCCATAAATGGACAGGAGCAGGGCAGACTGAGCAGCTGAACAAAGACCTGCGAGGCTGGGGCACAGGCGCTGGGAAGGAGGGGGAGCAGGCCGGTCAGCCAGGTGGGGTATGTAACAGGTTTTACTCTTTATTCTGAGAGCAAGGAGAAGCCACTGGAGGGTTGTAAGCAGGGAAGGGATATGCTTTTTTGAAAGATGATTCTGATTTCTGTATGAAAAATGAATTGGATGAGGAGCAGGAGATACTAGTTAGGAAGTCCACAGAAATAAGGGCACAGTGCGGGAGGGGAAGGGAGGGCGGGAAAGAAATGGGGCCATTCAAGAGATATATGTTGGGAGCTGGAACAGATGGTTCTTGATAGTTGGGTGGAGGTTTTGAGGGGAGGAAGGTCTTCAGAGTGACTCTGGGTTTCTGGCTGGGGCCACGGGGTAGCTGAGGAACCAGGTTTCAGCAACAATAATTTGTGACTTTTTCCATTTGACCTTTTTTGTTCCAGGTACTGTGCTGGGCATTGGGGCTGCAGGCCATGAGGATGGCCCCGGCCTTCAGGGAGCTCATGATCTAATGCGGGAGACCTGTAATGTCATGGGGGGGGCCCTATGAATGTGGGGAGAGACTGTAAAGTGGTGCTGCTGTAAGGGAGATATGGACAAAACCCATGTGGAGAGATGCATCCAGGAGGCCTGGTGAAGAAGTGGAATCTGAGCCAAGCCATCAAGGATAGACAGGGAAAAGTTGATGAAAGAGAGCAGTCCAGGTAGCAGGCACAAAGAAATGAAAACAGTGGCCAGAGGACAGTGCAAGGAGGGTAAGGCTGCAAGGCTGGCCTCTACCTGCCCTGTCTTCCTCCAGGGCTGCCATGAGGGTCCAGTGTGTGAGCATTTAGTAAACTGTTACTAGCTATTATAGTACTGGACTTATTCATGCGATGCCCCAAAGCACTTCACAAATAATCAAGAATTATGATTTCAGATGATAGTCCCTGACATGTGTACTGTTATCCCCATTCTACAGATGGGGAAACTGAGAGCTATTGTGGTGGAGTAATTGCCCAAGACCTTTCAGGCAATAAGCAGCACGGAGCTGAGACAAACCCAGCAGGCCATTTTAGTCTCTGAGAGGGTACACAGGCTGGGAGGAGAGGGTCTGTGTCATATGCTGCCTTGAAAAGATTTGCATGTGGCTCAAGTTGCCAGATTTGGTTGTGCAGGTTGGGCCATGCCCAAGGACAACTGGCCTGTGGGCTGCGTGGGCCTGAATCCAGCCCATCTCCACTGACCAACCATGTGCCCAGTCCCCCTCCCCCGGGGCACAGCTTTGTCTCCTTCACACAGAGGGCACTGTGAGTGCTGCTTTTGCCAGCCTTACTGCGAGTGGTGGGGCATTTAACAGCTGGGACACTGACAGGCAGGGTGGAACCAAGTAGTGGCCAGTAGCATCAGTGAGAGTTTTATGTTGTCCTTGAGGGCGGTTTTGTTCATAGGAAAACCAACTGAGGTTTTAAAAACGAATGCTTGGTTTTAAAAACGAATGCTGTGGTTTTACAAACGAATGCTTGCCCAGTCGGTGTGGCTTGGTGGTTGAGCATCGACCCATGAACCAGGCAACCACAGTTTGATTCCCGGTCGTGGAACACACCTGGGTTGCAGGCTCAATCCCCAGTAGGGGGCGTGCAGGAGGCAGCCAATCAATGATTCTCTCTCACCATTGATGCTTCTATTCCTCTCTCCCTTCCTCTCTGAAATCAATTAAAAATAGTAATAATAAAAATAAAAATGAATGCTTAATAGGTCAAAGTAATATTTAAAAATCTAGTAAATTTTAATCAAAACATTTTAAGGGGGATTTTATAACTTAATTGCCCTGAATAATTTAAATTAACTTAGAAATAATTTAAAATAAACTAAGCTTAAAATATGAAAACTATTGGATTGTCATAAAAGTTTCATCATTGTTTACAAAATTTATAGAAGTGCCTTATATCTTTCCATTTAAAATCACAAGTCTAAATGATTCCATTGCACATTTTATATTGGAACCACAAAGCTAATCTGTTACATATTCTAATATGCCAAATTATTTTAAATATTACAAATACTTTCAAACTAACTCTACACGGATTCTTCCTAAACATAGTACCAAAAAAAGGTAAAACTATAGATTTCATTTAATTTACCATTTCTAATACTAATTCTAAACCTTCCCATGACCAGAAACACTCGCTAAAGAAACAAATTTACTCAGCAAAGCGATGTGATATTTGCTTATTTTACTAAGCAAAATATCCAAGCAAATTTTGAGTTAGTTTACAACTCGCTAAGCATACTCACTAAATACAATTTGGGTGTGACCTGAGAGCGACTGCGGCACTCAGGGAAGTGTATTCGGTGACTCCACTGTGGAGCTGGCCCTCCTTTTACCCTCCATGGCATCAGAGGATGCTGAGTCCATGCCCTGCCAATGGAGTAGGTTTTGCAACCCAAGCCCCTAAGATCAAGTCAAGCTCTGGTCACCTTTTTTGTCTCCTGTCTCAGCCTGATCACTCTGCAGGATGAGCCCACCCAGGCCATTCATTACCTGAGAAGGTTCATCTAATCAATTTCCTGCTGGATTCAATTCTGAATTAGGTTTTTACTTTCCCTCTCTGGCCATCCACCAAGCTCTAGAAGTATTTTCATCCCACCCTTGGGTTCTGTATGCCTCTGGTGGCCTTGCTGGCTCTCTCCACAAACACTAAGGTCTCGCTGATGGTGGCCAGCTGTGTCCATCTGGCCAGAGCAGCTGTGCTCTGTGTCGTGCTGAGCCAGGAAGCCACCCTGGCTTCTCTCCATCCACTGTGATGCTTAGAGACGTCAAGAGGGACTAGATGATAGGCTGCCTGTGCTGCCGTGTACGCTGCCGCTGAGAGATGTCAGTCTCCTGGAAGCTCAAGATTCTAACCAGTAAGAAGCTTCTGAGTCAGGATGGCAAGTCCGAATTTTAAAAGTCCAACCACGTGTAACTTTACTTCTAAGTAAATAGGAGAGTAATTGTAATATTATATAGCAATGTCATGGTACATGATCTCTAATCATCATAAATTTCTAAATAAATATCATTATGTCCAATGACATAGACGACAAACTTAAGGTCCAGAGAGATGAAACCATAGTGAGCTAAGAAAGTGTTACCAAGTAGAGGTCTTATTGGACCAGCTTTAATGAGCAAGTAAGACATTGTCCTAAAAGCCAATAGGAACTATTAAAATGCTAAAGTGGTTTTAACCTTAAAGACTTCAGTGGCCACAAAGTATAATGAGCACCTACTAAGTGCCAGGCACTATAGGGGAACGAAACCAGGTTCCAGAAGACAGACTAGGGGTCACGCAGATCCTCGAACTTTCCATAGCACTTGCCCTCTCTGGACCTCAGTCTCACCCTCTGACAAGTAAGGGTGATAAAACCCTCCCTGCATACTTAGCAGGGCTGCTGGGTTGCTGCAATGAGCTATGGAGAGCAGTGATTTAGAAAGTGGAATGAACTGGGTGGAATGAGCAAGGGCTGTGACACTGGGTAGTGGCCACTCCTGAGTGGTGACTTTCAGCCCGGCCTGCAAGGAAGGAGTGTGCATTCTAAACCAGCCTGGCATGTCTGAATGGGGCAATGTTTGCCCTTGGTGTCAGTGATGCCACCTGCTCTCCACCATGTGGGTGGGTCAAGGGATGGGGTGAGGTAGTGAGGTAGATGAAACAGCCTGTGAGGAGTCTGGTGAGGCTTGGGTTCTTGGCTACAGGGAAATCAGTCCCAGAGCCTTGGAGTAAAAGTGGACAAGGGCCCAGGTAGAGTAGAAGGAGCCGGAAGTGCGGTGCAGCGAGGGGAGTCCCAGCCCGTCATCTAGCAAAGGTGCAGCAATAGCAGTGGCACAGGCAACGATGGGGTACATTGTCCATAGAGAATTTAAAAGCAGTAATAAAACCAATTAGAAGCTGGTCTGCTCATTATTATCACCATGTGCTGGCTGTTCTAAACAATGTCAGTGATAAAAACACCTTTCTGTTTGCAAGGGATGGGGGGTGGGGGACATTCCCACTGCCCTCTTTCCTGGCATGCCACAGGCCCCTAGCCCCTCCCCACAGTTAGCCCTTAACAAGGGGCTCAGGAAGCAGAAGGCCACGAGGACAGGGAA